AAGTCAGAGAACCAGTCCTAAGTACCACTTGTTTAGCACCATCGTTTCGACAGTCGTTGAAAAAGTGGTTCTAACTCAAGGACCACTTGTATTTTGGGTTGGGGATAAACTTGAATTGACTCAAAGACCTACTGTAAATATGTGCGGATTCTACTACATGGGCAAATTAGCTACTTCATATTGTCACTGTCACATCAGTTTTCACTTTCCCCTCCCTGCCTTTGTGATTGTTTTTTTTTAAAAAGAAAAAGAATGTTTTTCCAAGACGTTTTGCTTCCACATGCATTTCATACTTTAAAATTAAAAACCTGACATGTGAAAACTCATAATCCTTTAACCGATGTGAGGGTGATAGAACAGGCTTCAAAGAGGTAATCCGGCTAATCTCATTCCATAGTTCCAGAATATTAAACCATTTTATAGCATAACATTTCTACCTAAACCCGTCTTGATGTTTCTTAAAAGATTTATATGCACCATCCATTACATTTTAGTCAGGCAATTTATTATTCTGCAATGTTTGCAGATTTTAGACATCTAAAATTACCTCCAAGCCAAAAAAAAAAAGGGCAGTCTACATGAACAAATGGCCCAATGCTAAAAGAAAGTGATGGATTGAAGACAGAGCTTTACCTGAGTCACTGCTGTCCGAACTGTCGGAAGTGGATTCACTCCCACTAGAGGATCCTGAGGTCTCACTGCTGCTGGAATCATCCTCCGAATCAGATGTCCCCGATTCTGAAGATGAATCAGATGACTCCACATCTTGCTTCTGCGTCATTATTATTTTGGGTGCATTTTTCAGGTGTTCCCGTAGTTCGTCGCTATTTTTAAAAAATGAACAAAATAGGAGATATATAAAAATAACTTAAGTGTTTGTTGAGTTGTACTCTGTCTTGTATTTCTGAATGTAGCCTTATTTAAAAAAAATCTCGCTGAATTGATAAGGAATTACTTTACTAATCACTGTCAACCGAATTCCATCCAGAATTAAATTTCTTTTTGAGATGGTGGAGTCAATGCCAACATGATATCTTCTCCTTAGGCTCATGTCTGGTGAGAATGCATCTCTACCTAATGCTGGTAACAAAGAATTAGCAGTGTGATTCTTCCTCCCCCCGCCCCCCTCCCGGTATTTTAGTCTTTGAGGACTTTAACACTTTGTATTTACATTTTAGAGCCACATTAGTACCGGCTCAGAATAAAACCTGCAGAAAATTGCAATTTCTCCCTGCTCCTAGTATGATATTGAGCGCTGAAAAAAACGCAAGATAAACATAAAGCAGCCTTCAATGATTAAAAAGTTGCCTGCATTAGTAAGAGTGTTTAAGCAGAACCAACACATGAAGACCAACATAAAATGTTGAATTGTCAGATTTCTCGCAATATTGATCTCACAGAGTTGTGCACAGATGGGTTTCAAATTATAGGCCTTGCTTGTGCATTTGTCTCCCATGGATAGCCTGGAGACATCAGAGGCAAAGTTTGAATATATTTTCACTCCCTAACATGCAGTACATATGATCAAATCCAAAATCTATCTATATATCATCTGATCCTATTATGTGACAGATTCACAGGGGCTATTTAAATATGCATGTACATATATAAATTAAAATGTTTTTTTTTCCTTACGTCAGTCCTCCAAGGCCAATTGAAGTGAAGAAATTGATTGCAAATCTAGTATTTCTTGGATTATCTCGTGGTAATAGTCCTTCAAAGAACGGTAGCAGGGTTCTGTTAAAAACCAAACATAGCAATCATTCCTAAGACCGAGAATTTCAAATGCTGCACACAAAGTATTTTGATCCCAGTTTAGAAATATTTAAAACAATCAGGTTAATTTACACATATTTGCAACTACAGAAATCTATATCTTACTAAATTCAAAATCCTATTGAAAAAGTCATTTTCCCATAAATATACAGTCTGCCATCCAATAAGGAAACAAAAGGATTAAGGATGATGAATGGAGATAGCAGATGTGGCCTGAACAGAATATGAGAGTTGAAGGGAAAAGTAGGGACCCCTCTCCTCCATACAATATATAAATGGGGGAAGAGTCAGGAGAGAAGCAAAGGTCACTTTTTTTTTTACTGGGATCTATATTACACAGATTGAGTTACACTTACTACCACAATATTACATCACAGCAGGTGACATCATTTACTTTTATTGTAGCTCGATGTTTCTCAACTTCAGAAACGTTAGGATGTGTGGACTTCAACTCCTCCAAATTCTTGGGAATTGAAGTCCATATATCTCAAAGCTGATAAAGTTTGGAAGCAGTGCCTTTGCTGGTCTCAATACAGATAAGCAGGTTTAATACTTGGATGGGAGAACATGAGAAATTTCAAAAGGTGTTATACACAAACTGAGAGTTGAAAACAAAATCCCACAAGAAGGCAATGTCAAACTCTTTCCATTTTGTAATCAAAGAAACAACATGGACATAGCCATGTAAGTTATTGAGACTTAGAGAGATTTTACCTTTTATTAAAATATATTAACTCCCTCTGAAAACTATGTGCTACTTATCAGCTTCAATCTTTACAAATCTGACAAAAATATAAACAGTCATAAACAAGATATTAGAAAAATAATGTATAATATAATTTGTTACTTACTCATCTTTCAACCTCGCATTAAGATTAGGAAGTCCCATATATTCACTAAGCTCCTGGAAGAATATTTTAACAAAAATCCTACTGGATGATGTTGTCGTTTCTTCACTTAGAGAAATGCATTCAAGGACCTACAAATAGAAGGGATAACTAAATGCCAAATATTATTTTCCTCTTTAAAATAAACTAATTTTCCTTTGTTCCCCCAAGGAATTTTGATATCCTTGAATGGTAGCATATTCCTTGCGATAAATATTTGCTAATGGAATGGCCATCTTACAAAAACACATTCACGTTATCACTTAAGCCAAGTCTGGATGCCGAGCAAACAAACTATCTCAATTTTTCCTAAAATTCAAGAAATCCTCTCTTTCTAAAGTACACACATCCCTTACCAGACTGAAAGTCAGTGTGATTCTTCACTCTCAACATGTGTTTGAACTAATTCCATTTACATCTGTAGGTTCAAATAAATTTTAAAAAAAAAACCATTATCAAAAACCCAATGCATAGTGCAAGGCTACAAATGTTGGCTACATACACTCCATGGAAGTGAATCTGTGTATAAAAGATGAGCAAACATCTTGGCAACGTTCCTCAACTTGTTTGTTTCCAACCGATGTATGGTATCATACTGCTCTTTGAAAATTGCTTCAAATGACTCCATGTATTCTTTTTTCAACATACAGAAGCGCTAAGTATAAAATAAAAACACAGTGAAGAAAATCAAATGAGGGGAAAAAAACCCTGATTTCAGCAGGGTGCTAGGACTAAACAGACAAAGAAAATTAAAAAGGAAAACCAAAGATAGACCTCGACTTATGATCATAATGGAGCCTGCCCATTGTTGTCCTAAGTCATGCCAGTCGGAAAGCAGGTCACCCATAGGATTGATCCAATTTTATGACATTTTTTTGCTGCAGTCATTAAGCGAATCACTGCAGTTAAGTGAGTCTGTGGTCTTAACAAACATCACAATCGTTAAGCAAACTCATTGTTTGCAAGGGGTCTTTTTGCCCAAAACTGAAAGAAAATGCTGGTTTTCGGGGAAAATAGCAACGGCAATTAGACTTATATACCGATCCACACTGCTTTACAGCACTCTTTGAGCAGTTTGCAGAGTCAGCATATGGCCCCCAACAATCTGGGTCCTCATTTTACCAGTCTTGAAAGGATGGAAGGCTGAGTCAACCTTGAGCTGATCAGGATCGAACTTCTGGCTATGGGCAGAGTGTGCATGCAATACTGTAATCTAACCACTGCGCCACCAGGACTAGGTTGTAAATTGCTGTAATGTAACCATGGGATGATGCCAATAATTGTGGGCACCCCAAAAGCGGTCATATGACCATGTGGAGGATGGGAGGGTTTGCCATCAGAACATTAGAACAGAGTCATTATGTATTTTGGGGGCAGGTCCCTTGTAACTTTGAATAGTCATTAAGGGACCAGTCATAAGTGGAGGACTACCATACTGGTTTCTTTTCTAATACTAGTTTGTTTCTAAAGACAACCAAACATAAAAAGAAGACAATTTAAATAATAGTTAGCTGGAGAATTTTGGGGAGCCGAGTGGACATTCCACTTACCTTTTTCCATCGACCCATTTTTTCCATTGCCTTCCCTTTCTACTTCCTCCAACCTTGCCAGGCAAACGAACATTTCTAGGCCATCATCTCCGCACATCCCCACATACCTCAGTTTTTGGCTTGCTGACTGTTACCCCAAGGAAACAATCAGTATTTGGTTTTGGACTGAAGTTTCTCCCCTCTCTCTTCAAATAGACAATTAGATGATGTCTATGTTCTTTCCCTCACTCTACCTCAGTGTACTGCTTTCACAGTTATATAGATAGTCCTCAGCTTACGACCACAATTGAGCACAAAATGTATGTTGTTGAGTGAAAAATTTGTCCCATTTTTTTTAAACTTTTCTTGCCACATTTGTTAAATGAAACATTGCAGTTGTTAACTTGATAACATGGTGATGAAGGGAATCTGGGTCAGAAGGTCCTGTACACTGCAGCCGTCATAAATATGAGTCAGTTGTCAAGCATCTCAATGTAAATCATGTGACCAAGGGGATGCTGCAATGGTCGTAAGTGTGAAAAATGGTTATGTTTTCAGTACCGTTGGAGAGTTTGAACGGTCACTGAATGAACTGTTGTAAGTCGAGGACTACCTGTATATTACCACTGGAAAGACCATCACTAAAATCACTTATTTTAGGTTGGCTGGCTTCCCTTACATCAGCACAGACCCTCTTCAGGCTTACTTTTAGCTTTACTTTTCCCTTTTGAACTGACTGCCAAAGATAAGCCTGCCATAAATACAGCATTTGCTCTGATGGTTATTACTACTGATGGTTATTACTAGTAGGCCTACAATGTGGGAATCATATTGAAAAACAGGAATCCCCCTTGGAAGTGAAATATGCAGAAATTACATCCTCATACTACCATACTTATATTTTTTTAAAAAAGAAAAAACACCTGGGAAGATGCCCATTTTTCCTCAACAGTGGTACTATTTTGCAATGTTAATAAACCATGCAATTCAAGATGCCACTCTCTGTTTCGTCCTTCCAAATATAACAGCTAGGCCATAAATGAAAGGTTTCCATAAATGATATTGAAAAAAACACTTTTGCTAAGGAGTCCTCTTTATGAGAGACTGAAAGACATGGCGAGGGGGAAGGAATGGCAAGGGAGATAAGCAATGACAAGTAGCAACTCACCCCAGCTAGTAAACCAAAGAATTTTTCGTATGTTCTTTGCTGAGCACAACAATCAAGAATCATGTTGCACAGTTCTTTCTGTCGCAAAAAAAGAAAATAACATGCTTTTAGTAAAAAAAATTACTACGGCAATATCATGGTAATAATGCAGAATTGTTATTGTTTTGTTTTTTTTTTAAAAAAAGGGCGTTGCATTAAAAATATAAATAAATTTGACTTGTTAGTCCACGAAACCCTCTGAATGCACTTAATTTTCAGTTACTGACGGAAAGATGAAACCATAAGACGAACAACTTGTGAAAAGTTTCTACCCAGCAGTGTGATTGATCAGCATTGTGATCAGTAAACATACTCATCAATAAATAGTCAAGGTTTTCTGTTTGCTCAATGATAAGAAACAGCTAACTGCCATAATCTTAAAAAATCCCTTGTTGTATTTTCCATGAATTCAATATATTAAAACATATATTTATTTTTACATTGCTCCACTGGAATCATATTGCAGTCAGTCAGATTTTATGTAATAAAGCGGGGCAAAGTGCTGATGCTGTTTGCTAATGAAGTCAGAGCGGCTGGAAGAACAAATTACTTTTTGCTCCCTGAACAGCGGTTACCACGCTGTCATATCTCCCAGGGGTTAAAGTAATTAAATATTTCAGCATTCTAAATATTTAAATATTACCCGTGATTTCTACCAGAATATCTTGAGTAATCATGTTTAGGAAAACAGATTTGCTTATAAAGTCACTCTTACTGACTTATTCAAAATAAGCATGCTTAGATCTCCCCATTATTTTGTACACATGATGTGATAGGAGTCATTGAGTTGCATTAGCAGCACACTGCGGTTTCAGAGATTAATTGCAGCCACT